CCCCCCCCCAGTCTGAAATAAAGGACCAACCTTTGCAGAAACCCCGAGGTAAGTCTGAAGGAAGAAGTTGCAGCTGCATTCACAACATTGAATGCCCTGAATGCTATGTACCAGCCACTGTTGGGTGCTAAGGATACAGTGGTCTGTACGCCAGACAAGAGCCTGGCTCACGTGAAGCTTCCAGAGCAGCAGGAGAGGAACAGGGAAAGGGACAAGTAGAAGACAGTGTGCTCCTTTCTAAGTCTTGGATGTTCCAAGTCCGTAGTAGCTCTTAGGAACAGCATTTGAGCTGGAGTTTTGAGGTCACAGAAGTGACATTCCAAGATTTGAAGAAAGTGCCACAGGTTTTGAGATCTGTGGGGTGTCTGTATTGGCTGATTGAAATAGAGGTGGGGAAGAAGAAAGAGCTAAAAACCATTCCAGGCAGAGAAAGTAAGCGAAGGCTGCTGAACGCTGTGTTTCCAGAGCTTAGAGCATGCCCAGAGCGGCTCAAGTCAGGAGGTGCCAGGTCCTGGGTGCACTTTGTCGACTGCTTTAGGGATCTGGACTCTTATCCAGAAGGTGGTGTAGGAACCATTAAGGGTTTTTGAAGCAAGGGGAAGACCCAGTAAGGTTTATTTTTTAAAAGACCACCCTGGCCCTAGCCAGTGTTGCTAAGTGGTTAGAGCATTGGCCTGCAGACTGAAGGGTCCCGGGTTCGATTCCAGCCAAGGGTATGTACCTCGGTGTCAGGCTTGATCCCCGGCCCCTGTCAGGGCACATGTGGAAGGCAGCCAATCTATGTGTCTCTCTCACATGGATGTTGCTCTCTCTCTCTCCCACTCTGTGAAAAGCAGTGGAAAAAATATCCTGGGGTGAGGATTATAAAAAACAAAACTACTCCGTGTTCCGTGTGGTGAGTGGATAGGAAGGTGTGGGCCCGGGGCAGTGCAGGGGCGGGAGGAACAGCAGTGGCAGCTCAAGCATCTCGCTGGCATGGAGGTGGTGGGTGTGGAGAAGGGGATGGGTCCTGGAGCCATTCAGAAACTAGAACCTGACTTTAACAGCTAGGTAGGGTGATGGCAGCATTTAGTTTGGGGAGCCTAGAGGAGAAAAACGATTTTTTCCCTTTTGTTTGGATGTGAAGTCAAGGCATTCAGCCGTAGTTGGATTTAAAGAGAGATATTTGAATATGGCCTGCATACAGATAGTTCCTGGGAGTTGATGCTTCCACCCCAAAAAATGGAAAACAAAGGAGCAAACTTTAAGATAGAATCCTGGGGAGCAGTATCTACTGGGCTGGAAGAAGAGAAACCCGCAGGGGGAAGGAGGTATTCCTGGGCTAGGAGGGTGTGATCCCGCCACAGCAAAGAGGGAGGGAGTGATCAGCTAGGGTTTTAAAAGAAGAATAAGACTGAGGTGTCCTTTAGATTTAGCACCGAGGCTGGTGTTGACTTTGGCAAATGCAGGGGCAGTGGCCTGAGATGCCAAATGGATGATATGAAAGAAGGCGTAGTGACACTTCCTAAGGTTTCCAGGAGTAAGGGAAGTAACGTGAGAACAGCCCTGGCACGGAAGGAAGTACAGTGAAGACTTCACAGTTACTTCTTCATAGCACAGTGTTGTCATGAATCAGAGTACTTTCCACTCTGGCAGTGGAGTTCAGGCATCAGCATTTTTTAAAGCTTCCAGATGATTAAGGTACAGCCAGGCTTAATAATCAGTGCACCGGATGCTGTGCAGGGGACTGGAAGTACAGTGGCGAGCAAGACGGGCATGACCTCTGACCTCTTGGACTTTGTCGTCTAGTGGGAGAGACAATATATTTTAAAAAATCATGTAAGTACTTATTACATAAGTATAATTTTGAAAAGTGTTGTGAAGTGGGAACTACACAATTCTACTCCAGTCCAGTAAGGGGGAGATCCAAGGAAGTTTTCTCAAGGAGGTGATATTTCCATTGAACCCAAATAATAAACGTCAGTTATCCAGGTAAAGAGGCATGGAGACATAGTCCACATGCCTTGTAGGTGTTCAATAAATAGCACCTCATTCTCCACTCCCCTAAATACAGTGATGATATTCTTCAGACAACTAGCAAGGTACATGGCCCGATAAAGGATTTTCCTGCTTATGCCTATAAGAAACAATCTGTATAATTTGGTTACGAAAATATTTGAATTTCGGCGTTGTGTGTATATTATGAGGGCAACGTAGAGACTCAGATTGGAAATTTCACATATCTCATTGTCACATCCATATCTGAAATATCGGATAACCACTGTTACAGTGCCAGGGGTCTGAATTTTTCTTGACGATAAATGGAGAGTAGCTTTATCTGATGATGCCTTCTGTCATCTTGATGTTGTGTTTTGCTGTATGTATTCATCCAGAACTGCTTAAAATCAATATTTCTTAAAAAAACAACAGTAGCTTATGTGTAACTGGAATCCTACTTTTTGAATTCATTCTGACCAAGCTTGTTGCAAAACTTGCTCATCACTTGTGAAAGAATTAAAATAGTGTACATTAAATGGATCCATTTGTTAGTGACAGGCTTTACCTAAAGTTATTTTCATAAGTTGGTCTTTTGATTAGGAAGTAAAAAAATAACAACCCTTTGAACTTACTCTACGGGTTTCATAACAAGACAACGTAAACTTCCAAAATTCATTGGTCAGATATTTATAGGTACTATTTAGTTGTCCTTGACAGTCAGAAGAACATGCTTACCTGTGCCCTCTCTTGCTGTCAGCAGCTTTCACCAATGTAAACAACATGAGTGAATTGCAAGATTGGTGTGCTCTATCGAGCTCACATCAGAAGGAGCTTTTATTATTTGATTTTGGAGAATTCCAAACATACTTAAAAGCAGAAAGGGTAATACAGTAACCCCCCATGTTTCAACAGTTATCAGCTCATAGCCAACCTTATCTGTACCCTCATTTGTTTTTACCGCTTCCCTCGCCCTGAATTATTTTTGAAGTAGGTCACATCATTTCATCCATAATTATTTCATTATGTAATTTTGAAAAAACTTTAACGAAACCATTATCATTACCTAAAATATTAGTGAGGTCTTTATATTATCAGATATTTAAGTACATGTAATTTTCAAATTCAGAAGCAGTTTAATATCTTCAGTATCTAAGTACATTAATACCATGGCTTTTTAACTGATACTCAGTGCAAAGGCAAATGACATAAAACCTACATAGACATAGAAAGAATATGTGTTTCCTGGATGGAAGATTAGCCTCCTGTAAACATGGTCCACTCTGGCCACTTTGCACTAAGATACTCTTCTGGTTGTCGTCATTAATGCTTGCATGTGTCATTTTTTACGTGTTAGCTATTTAATATACACTTAGTTACATTTATACAGGTTATGTAATTATACCATATAGTATGGGTATATGGCTGTATATATGTAGAGGTATATGCAAATATAAAATATTTGCCTTAATTATAAGTTTGCTGGGAATAAGCACAATTTTTCTTTTATATAAGCTATGACCAGTTGTTCATGATGGACTCTTAATTGATATTTATAAGTGCCATAATATAAATAATATAATATGGAGAAAGGCTCCTAAATGTAATTTGGACTTTCTATTGGACATCCTCTCATAATTATGACCTTTTAGTTGTGGAAGAAAACTGGAAAATTGTCTGTTCCCAGCAGATGTTCAATAGATGACTTTAGATCTATTCTGCATGTGAGGCCGGTATCTCAGAGAAGCCAGGTAACAACTCAGCTTCTTCATGCCTGAGAAGTGGCAGGAGGAGTGAGTGGTTCAGACTTCTCACCATCCCACCAGAGTCACGCCCTCTGAGTCAGTGAGGGAGGACAGCACGTTGCACAAGACCTGCCTGTGTTCTACTGTTGGAGCACATGCTTCCATCTCACAGGATTTCTGAACACGGTGAACATGCTGGTGACCATGCCTGCGTCTTCCCTAGCGCTTTGTTACGAAGCTTAGGTTTTTACTCAGCTATGCTCAGGAACCTGTTTTCTAAATCTAAAGAAGTTCTGAGTCCTTGTATTACAGTCTGTGCTTGGCCTTTTAACATTAGAGAAGAGAAATAGTTGTAATTTTTTAAGTAAATCTACAGGCAGGACTGTGGTTAAGAATTGAGACAGCCTTGGGAAATAAAATACAAATTTAAATAG